GTACCTGTCACGAGAACCTCAATATATATATATATATACACTCAAAAATGTACTTATTTACACTATAGATAGGAATTAAACAGCGCCATATCCATCGGCACTGACCTCACACTGTCTGTCCACAAGTCACACTCAGTAAAGTCCACTATATAACTGACCTGGCTTCATACATTTGGACTGGTCACCTGTTTATAACGTTACGGTAAACATGGCACCTATACAAGGAAAACTAGAAATGGCAAGTGATACTTAACTCAGAATGAAAAGAAAAATTGTATACATTATAATAATAATAATGAAATTTTACTACAGTGTCACCTTTTAATTCACAGTAAAACAAATACAATATAAAAACCATTAACAGGAATTAATATCAGGCCAAATGCTGACTTACGAGACACTATTGAAACACATGATACATATCATTTCATCGTAAAAAAATCACCTAAAATACTCATAAAAAGAAATTACTTCTGTGTTCCATCTATAAAATATTACCAAGGAAAAACTTTAAGTATTTCAGGATGATGGACATGTGGTTTCATAATAACTAAATATCAATAACCTGTGCAAGACATCCTATAATGAGAACATCTCCAAGTGTCCCATGACTATTAAAATTTAAAATTGATATTAATAATAATAGAAAGAGAACAAATCCTTTTAAATTACATGATTATCAATTTAATAATATTTTCTAATGATGCACTATAGATTCTATTCACCTAGTTGAAATCACTGTACTGTATGAAATATAGATGATATCACTGCACTTTATGTGCTTTGCGCCTATTGTAATAAACAAGTTGAAAGCTGAGTCTGGATGCTATTATAGTTCATTATGGCGATGAATTTCTGTTCCTCTTCTGAAATTGCGAAGTCTGGAATTTTCCCCATGGCCATGGAAAAAAGTTCAAACTTAATATCATCATACTGTGGATATTTCACGAGGAAGTGTCTTTCATCATCTACTTCCTGAATATCATAATTAAATATCAATAATCTGTACAAGACATCATATAATGAGAACATATCCATGTGTCCCATGACTATTAACATTAAACATTGATATTAATAATAATAGAAATAGAACAAATACTTTTAAATTACACGAGTATACAAATATCGACCGTTTGAACAAGATACGATGTATCGTGATAAGGGGACGATTTGTCGGGGTAGGGGACGGTGTATCGTGATAAAGGGACGATATGTCGGTGTAGGGAATGGTGTATCGTGATCAGGGGACGGTGTGTCGTGATGGGCGACACACAATAAATGTATGTTTCGTAATTGGAGTCAACGCAGAAGGCAACCTGAGTTTTATGACTATAATTAGATGAGCATGTATCTATTTGCAGTCCTTTACCTGTAACGTATTCCAAATGTGTAATACACAAAGGTACAGCGATAACAAATTAGTCAAGTTGTGCCGAAACCTGATACTAAGAACCCCTCCCTCCCCTATACCATGCATCATATGTTAGTTAGCTTATAGCGGAGTACCTAGGAAGATATTGATGTTAAATGTCGTGTCGCTCTCAGGGTCATACAATACATGGACGTTGTAAACATTGACAGATAGCTCAGATATTTCAGCCTTTGAAAACACTGTCATCGGATATCGACGTTCAGTTAATTGATTACTGTCGATCACTGGAAAGTGGGGATAACACATGAAAAGCGAGAATCTATTTTACAACGAGGACGGTGACGTTACGCCCATACTCCGGTGGTATCAATCGATATATTGGAATCTCATTTCACAACTGACAGGTTTTAGTGTCAATTTCCGCGGAGGGCGGGAGCGAAAAATATAGAACCGCTTTGTTATCAATTATAGACAATTTACTGGGTGAATACCATGGAGACACGCCATGTATATGTAAACGAATTCACGACGAAAACCAAATCAGTGAATATAATTATATTAAAGACTTACCCCGAATTATCAAATGAAGAAATTTTAAAAGTTAATAAATAAGAAACTAGAAATATACGGGCCACATTTGGAAGACACATCAATTAACCTTTAGGAACTTATTTCTGCAGAGGCAGGAAATGAACACAAAAATTTCGTTTAAATGAGGTGTGAATACAGGTGGGAGTAAGTGAAATCGACGGAAGAGCTTTAATATCTGTGTCTGATATAGAGGTAGCGAAGTGTGAACGCGTCCCAAACACCTGAACAGGAACTATATATATATATATAGTAGACACTGTGTTTACCTTTACTTATCCGACTTAACGACAGTGGCTTTTGTTGGACGAGTCACATTGGTGTACACACAGGCCAAAGCTTGTCCGTGGTACCGTATAGGGAAGGTTTCTCACAGTTGATCAGGACGAGGACGACTATTACAGGATCAGGACGTATTGGTTGTGGTACAGGATTTGGATCTGTGTATTGGCCAGAAATAACATGGATAAGAAATTCGGAGGAGTGATATTTTCATTTCAACCTAAGCTTGCGTAAGCAGTGTTATAAATACATTGATGTATTTGATGACGACCTTTGACATGTACATATGTAAATCAGGGTACTACTTACATGTCAGTGAATGTATCAGTCTTATCTAAACAGTATTCCATTATACAAAAAACTGTACATGTTTGTATCGGTAAATGTATTTTCTAACATCTCCTACGTGATAATGATATTGGTATGTGTAGTCGCCATGTCATCCATATGCATGTGTAATATGTATATAATAGGTAGAAATGGGTAAACAGGATGGGGAGGAGGTAGTAGAGATGTGAGATAAGACTGGGGATTAGAATAAACGAGAGAAATGATGGTAAGGGGTTTGTGGGGAGAGTAGAAGGGAGGGGAAAAAACGAGTGTGGGAGCGGGGACGTGCGGAGGAGGGGGTAGTAGATAAAGGGGGATGAGGGAGGCCGTAAGGGTATCATAGTGAGTGTGGCAGCAGGGGCGAGTGGGGGAGGGGGTAGTAGATAAGGTACTGTGAGGGTATCATAGCGAGTGTGGAAGTGGGGACGAGTAGAGGAGGGGGTTGTGAGAGTCCGTAAATGTAGTATATGGCAAGAGGGAGGTAAGGTGTGTAAGGGAAATGTGAGTTTGGAGGGAGAGGATTGTGGAGAGACATGAGGCTAGGGAGGGGGGGAGTGGCAACTACTACCGATAAAGGTGTATTATACATAGAGGGTAGAGAATCAGAAAAGTGGGGAGGGGGTTGGATATTGTAAGGAAATGTTAAGAAAGGGTGGAGCACAGTCACTGTTGAGGGGAGGGGTGGCACAGTCACTGCTAACGGGAGGGGTTGCATAGTCATTGCTGAGGGGAGGGGGAGGCACAATTTTTGTGGAGGGGAAGGGGTGGCATGGCCATTGCTGAGGGAAGGGGTGGTAGGTCATTGTTGAGAGGAGGGGTTGGTTCGGTCATTGTTGAGGGGAAGGGGTGGTAGGTCATTGTTGAGGGGAGGGGTGGTACGGTCATTGTTGAGGGAAAAGGGTGGTACGGTCATTGTTGAGGGGAAGGGGTGGTACGGTCATTGTTGAGGGGAAGGGGTGGTACGGTCATTGTTGAGGTGAAGGGGTGGTACGGTCAATGTTTTGGTCGGGGCAGGGTAGGAAGGGATAAAAATAGGGCCTTTTTAGAGGGGGCTATATCTAACGCTATATTTTTATTTATTCCGTTTAATCTTTATGATTGTACCGTTCATTTCAAAGAAATATAAAATCACAGTTCGGAAACCATCGCGCTTACTTAAAGTGTCGGGACAGCAACATGTACAGTGAAACCGTTATTCTGTTAACAAAGACAGTGTTGTATGTGGTCCGGTGTGTGGGTCACACCCAGTCTCCAAGACAAGTGATATATATCTGATCTTAAATAAGATTTCCGTGGTTTTATAGGAGAATTAGTCAACGAACCTAAACTTTTTTTTATTAAGGGATGCTCTGTCAAGGTAAAGGGTAACTAGGAGACGAGATCGTAGGTGTTCAGATTAAGATTGTAAAACGTTATACAATCCTACACATCAGGAAAAGTATCAGTACAGGGGAAGGTGTCACACAAATCCCCGTCCCATGACCCCTATGTTTGTATGACCTCTGTAAGGACGGTGGGGTGGGGATCTGCGTTACACCCATGTGATGTCTCCACACACATCGTTAGGTAGCTGTGTATAACCACTCGTGTTTTGATGTATCGATCTTCTGTGGGTTGATTAAGTGGTCCCGTGTTAGCTTGGAGTGTAAATAGCCACTTAAGCCCCACTAACCCAGTTGTACGAGAGATATCTGCCGGGTATACGACAGTTATACGACAGTTATACGGAACACTAGTCTACTGACACTGTATATGACTGAGCCATTGTTTTAGCGAAGCGGCCTTATGTGTACTTGATAAAGTCAATATATTTACTGTGAAATACTTACAGTCTTGTATTTGCACACTTTTGATTAGAATACATTTCCGTGAAATACTTTTGATTTTAATTCTCATTTAGTCATTGTTTGACATATTTCAGTCATCACAATAATGCTCATTTCGTATAAAATATTTATGTTTGATAAACTCTCATTTATTTGTTTTAATGGTTATCGTTCTAATGGACAATAACATATAAAAAATGACAGCTTATTTAACGTTTTTAGTGATGACTGGATACTGTTTGCCTAGCTTTCATTTTTCTTTCTATGGTATATAGCAGCATAAAATAACGTTCGTAAATAATGACTTAGAGCAAGACCTCTTCTTCAAGGTACAGACCGTTATCAATTCCATGCATGTCTTTCCTGTTTGTTTAGCGTCCGCATCGATTCTGCTGTGCTCGTGTTTATTGGTGCTACGCATAAGGGCCAATACTTGACATAAGTTGGACAACTTGTGCCCAATCCCGTTTGTATAAATCAAGTCGTTATAGTAAATGTTATGCCAGACCCCTGTGGCGACGTTGCCAATGTTGTTATTACTGACGACGCTATCGATTGTGACGTCACAGTTGTCTCCACCGGAAGTCGTCAATTCCATTGTCATTACTCAGTCATTGATTAGCAACGCATGATTGTATTGGGGGGTGTTTAACTCTTCCCCTGAGATTACCGTTTGTATTACCGCTTTACACAGGAAAATGGACTGACCTGCGTAGACTTTCGAGCGTACTTGTTTTAGGATTTTTATAGACACGCCGCTAGTAAGCAGAACTCTCGATGGTCTAGGATGCCTAATTTTCCATCATGGGACAATAGCAGCCAAAACATTTGTCACGCGCGCGTCCACTCGCTGGATAGTTATCAGGTCGGGAACGCGAGACATAATCTCGGATCAGCTTTTTGACTCCCATAGGACGTATACATATGGACACATTACTTTCAAAAGCATCCAATACGATTTGTCGGCACAGTGACTCAAGTCCTAGAAACTTCAGGCGTAGATCCCATAGACGAGTTCAGCGCAGGAAACCGCATCGCATTGTTCGGAATTGGCTCAGAGATAAACTATTAGATATTCATTATTTCGTTATACTTATAATTATCATTTTATTAATGGTTTATAAATGTATAAAGTGAGTTAAGAGCTGCCAGCCGGACTATCGAAGAACCGTCGGAAATCGCTACCCTTATACTCGAACTTGCATATTGGATATCTTCTTTTTTCCCACAGTTTAATTTTGTCTTCGTACCTGAAAAGCCGTTATTCATAAGTGTTTGTGAAGAAATGCGTAAGAGCAACAGTTGTGCTAAATCTGCCAGTTATCGTTTTTTGCTAATTTCTCGTAAACATGCTTACAGTGCCGATGCTCCAGGCGGTGGAGGGGGAGGGGCCAAGGGTAAGCGAGCGGAAGCTGAATCCAGCAAGTGTGATACAGTCACGCAAGACCGGATATGGAAACAGGCCGTTGGCAAGGAGGAGATGTGCCTCAAAAACTGGTGAGTTGAACACAGTTACAAAAGTTATGTAAATGAAATAAATTTAAAGAATGTCTTTTTTATTCACACGGGAGTGATACCTAAAATCATATAACAAAAACAAATCTTGTAACTAAAACACACAGTGTTCATAACAACTTAACTCACCGTTGTCGACGTCATACCGTTAGCCTATGACTTCTATTAAGAATTGTGTTTTTTTTCCATCAGAAAACGTATAAGACAAAGATTTTCCTACTAAAAACTTGTGTTTTCACAACCGACAATATTGTATTGTTTGAATCATAAAAATGTTGACATGTTTAACCATAAACTACCAGGGGCACTAACCTAGCTGCACAGACAGTATACCGTCTCTGACGTAGGTCTGTGAGATTAAACTTACATTAGACCAGCTACACAGACCGAAGACCGTCTCTGACGTAGGTCTGTAAGGTTAAACTTACATTAGACTAGCTAAACAGACAGTAGACCGTATCTGACGAAGGTCTGTGATATGTAACTTTCATTAGACAAGCTACATAGACAGTAGACCGTATCTGACGAAGGTCTGTGAGATGTAACTTTCATTAGACAAGCTACACAGACAGTAGACCGTATCTGACGTAGGTCTGTAAGGTTAAACTTACATTAGACTAGCTAAACAGACAGTAGACCGTATCTGACGAAGGTCTGTGATATGTAACATTCATTAGACAAGCTACATAGACAGTAGACCGTATCTGACGAAGGTCTGTGAGATGTAACTTTCATTAGACAAGCTACACAGACAGTAGACCGTATCTGACGTAGGTCTGTGAGGTTAAACTTACATTAGACCAGCTACACCGACAGTATAACGTCTCTTACATTATACGAGCTACACAGACAGTAGACCGTCTCTGACGTAGGTCTGTGAGGTTAAACTTACATTATACCATCTGCAGAGACAGTAGACCGTATCTGACGTAGGTCTGTGAGATGTAACTTACATTAGACCAGCTAAACAGACAGTAGACTTTCTCTGACGTAGGTCTGTAAGGTTAAACTTACATTAGACCAGCTACACAAACAGTAGACCGTCTCTGACGTAGGGCTGTAAGGTTAAACTTACATTATACCATCTGCACAGACAGTAGACCGTCTCTGACGTAGCTCTGTGAGGTTAAACTTACATTATACCATCTGCAGAAACAGCAGACCGTATCTGACGTAGGTCTGTAACATTAATCTTACAGTAGACCGTCTCTGACGTAGGTCTGTAAGGTTAAACTTACAGTAGACCAGCTACACAGACAGTAGACCGTCTCTGACGTAGGTCTGTAAGGTTAAACTAACATTAGACCAGCTACACAGACAGTAGACCGTCTCTGACGTAGGTCTGTAAGGTTAAACTTACATTAGACCAGCTACACAAACAGTAGACCGTCTCTGACGCAGGTCTGTGAGGTTAAACTTACATTAGACCAGCTTCACAGACAGTAGACCGTCTCTGACGTAGGTTTGTGAGATTAAACTTTCATTCGACCAGCTACACAGACAGTAGACCATCTCTGACGTAGGTCTGTAAGGTTAAACTTACATTAGCCCAGCTACAGACAGTAGACCATCTCTGACGTAGGTCTGTGAGATTAAACTTACATTAGCCCAGCTACACAGACAGTAGACCATCTCTGACGTAGGTATGTAAGGTTAAACTTACATAAGACCAGCTACACTAACACTGGATCGCCTCTCAAAAGAGGTTGAGAGTATTGAAAATATTTTATTCAGAGCACTAGTTCGGCTATTTCTAAAGACTGCGCGTATAACGCCAGACATTCTATTTAATCATGTTTATATTCTCTCCTCTAGGAACGATAACTGGGGATTCCTTACAGAATTTGATGCCAAGGTATGTAAGATGATAGACTCGAAATATTGCTTAAAGATAAAACTGTAGTAAATATAAATTATTTTAAACGAGTGATGGTTGCCTTTGGACTTTATCCAATACAGTTATAAGTTAGTTGATTCTCTAATATAATTAACTGACCAGATTAGGATTGTCGGTAATTTTTACCAGGTCGATATCTGCTTTATCATAATATATATAAACAATATATTTCAAAAAACAAAACAGTTTTTCTCTTTACCAAAGTAGTGGACGTCACATCGCGTGACTTTATCAATAATATTTTTTTTATGTGAGAAAAATTATGTCAACCTCTGACGTCATTGGAAAATATAAGTAAACAATTTCCACACAATACCAAAACAAATGACTTCTTATACGAAACATCAGGCCCGTATTTCTAGTTAGATTTTTTTTGCAATTAATTATAGGAATGTAATTGGTTAGTTCATATTTTTTTTATCACTTCGGCAAAATACCCGTATCGCAGTAGTTCCCGTGACCAAAACAAATGACTTCTTATACGAAACATCAGGCCCGTATTTCTAGTTAGATTTTTTTTGCAATTAATTATAGGAATGTAATTGGTTAGTTCATATTTTTTTTATCACTTCGGCAAAATACCCGTATCGCAGTAGTTCCCGTGACCAAAACAAATGACTTCTTATACGAAACATCAGGCCCGTATTTCTAGTTAGATTTTTTTTGCAATTAATTATAGGAATGTAATTGGTTAGTTCATATTTTTTTTATCACTTCGGCAAAATACCCGTATCGCAGTAGTTCCCGTGACTTTTAAGACTACAGTTTCCATTTGAGTACAATATTGAGTCTCACTCACAAAATCATGTTTTGAAATATTGGAAATATAAAAAAATCCTTGATTTAGAAGTGATATCGGAGATATGCCGAAACCAAACTTTAATATTATGGTCTGAAAAGAGAATGTTCCGATACGTTTTTGTGTATCATTGTATTAACGACTTTCTATTGGTCCACGAAACGTTGACTTGCGACCCTTTATGATTTATACAGGGAGAAGGGATCACAATGGCGGTAAATTGACGCACACTATCATTTATGATTGTTGTTGGTTAAATAGAATTGTTTTGTTGCTCGAGTGGTATCATTAGATATCAAATGCCATATTAAAAATACAGTAATTGCTGTGGCTACCTGTTACCGTAAACACAGAACAGACCAGTGTACGTCCCTCGTTACCGTAAACACAGAACAGACCAGTATACGTCCCTCGTTACCGTAAACACAGAACAGACCAGTATCATCCCTCCTTACCGTAAACACAGAACAGACCAGTATACGTCCCTCCTTACCGTAAACACAGAACAGACCAGTATACGTGCCTCGTTACCGTAAACACAGAACAGACCAGTATACGGCCCGCCTTACCGTAAACACAGAACAGACCAGTATACGTCCCTCGTTATCGTAAACACAGAACAGACCAGTATACGTCCCTCGTTATCGTAAACACAGAACAGACCAGTATACGTCCCTCGTTCCCGTAAACACAGAACAGACCAGTATACGTCCCTCGTTACCGTAAACACAGAACGGACCAGTATACGTCCCAGGTTACCGTAAACACAGAACAGACCAGTGTACGTCCCTCGTTCCCGTAAACACAGAACAGACCAGTATACGTCCCTCGTTACCGTAAACACAGAACGGACCAGTATACGTCCCAGGTTACCGTAAACACAGAACAGACCAGTTTAAGTCCCTCGTTACCGTAAACACAGAACAGACCAGTTTACGTCCCTCGTTACCGTAAACACAGAACAGACCAGTATACGGCCCGCCTTACCGTAAACACAGAACAGACCAGTATACGGCCCGCCTTACCGTAAACACAGAACAGACCAGTATACGTCCCCCGTTACCGTAAACACAGAACAGACCAGTGTACGTCCCTCGTTACCGTAAACACAGAACAGACCAGTATACGTCCCAGGTTACCGTAAACACAGAACAGACCAGTTTACGTCCCTCGTTACCGTAAACACAGAACAGACCAGTATACGTGCCTCGTTACCGTAAACACAGAACAGACCAGTATACGTCCCTCGTTACCGTAAACACAAAACAGACCAGTATACGACCCTCCTTACCGTAAACACAGAACAGACCAGGATACGTCCCTCCTTACCGTAAACACAGAACAGACAAGAATACGTCCCTAGTTACCGTAAACACAGAACAGACCAGGATACGTCCCTCCGTACCGTAAACACAGAACAGACCAGTTTACGTCCCTCGTTACCGTAAACACAGAACAGACCAGTATACGTCCCCTTAACAAAGTCGTAGCGAGCAAGTCTACTGGTTTGAGGAGTCGATTTACTCCTCCAGAATAAACCACTTACCTCCCCATCCCTCCCCTATTTTGCAAGAAAGCTGGGACTTGAGCAAAACAGTTAACTAGTTATAATAATAATAATAATAATATCTTTTATTTATCCAGGGTTACATATTTAGACAATGTCTAGTTTACAATATGGCCCTCAAAAATTCGTGACGTCATCTTTAAATCTGCAACTCTCGTGGAGAAGTTATCGTGTATCGAGAGCGAATCCTGGCATTCGAAGACGTCGTGAACTACTCGAGCAATAAAACTATTCTGTGGTGACGTTTGAGCTGTACAGTTTTGGTTTGTGTGGCCTATATACACAGGTTTTTGTGACGAGCCCAATATTTCACCTCCACATACCATATGTATTCATGATAAGTATGTACTAATTATTACTTTTCATCATGTATCATCTGCTAATCGCTTGTTGTGAACCCTGTGAAATACAATATTTACTTCAGGTAAAATATCATATATAAATTACCCTGTCTTATCCGACACCCTGTGTAATACAATATTTACTTCATGTAAAATAACATATATAGATTATCCGGTCTTATCCGACACTCTGTGGAATACAATATTTACTTCATGTAAAATAACATATATAGATTATCCGGTCTTATCCGACACACTGTGGAATACAATATTTAATTCATGTAAAATAACATATATAGATTATCCGGTCTTATCCGACACTCTGTAGAATACAATATTTACTTCATGTAAAATAACATATATAGATTATCCGGTCTTATCCGACACACTGTGGAATACAATATTTAATTCATGTAAAATAACATATATAGATTATCCGGTCTTATCCGACACTCTGTAGAATACAATATTTACTTCATGTAAAATAACATATATAGATTATCCGGTCTTATCCGACACACTGTGGAATACAATATTTAATTCATGTAAAATAACATATATAGATTATCCGGTCTTATCCGACACTCTGTAGAATACAATATTTACTTCAGGTAAAATAACATATACAAATTACCCTGTCTTATCCGACACCCTGTGGAATACAATATTTATTTCATGTAAATATATAGATAATCCTGTCTTATCAGACACACTGTGGAATACAATATTTACTTCATGTAAAATATCATATAGGTTATCCTGTCTTATTAGACACTTTTTAGGATAAAAAATATAGATTTAAATCAACCAAGCAATCATACTCAAGACACCCACTGGATTATTTTCATAAAGAATGTGATTGCTTTAACTTATGTCTACCGGTTTACAATGTGTTCAGTTTGCCTTGTTGTTGATTTCACGAGTTTATCTCAGCCAATTAATATTTTTTTTGCGGTTTGGCATGGTTTATTTCCTGTGACTACTAAAGATGCCAAGGTTTGGTGTTTTGATTAATATTTATCAATGAACTGTGTTGGTTGTTTAAAAGAGGTGGGTATCGTTTTATATTTGGATTTAATAGTGAAACAATGCACTGCTTCCATTCCTCAACGTTTTCACGTTGATCTTTTTCCGATTCGATTCTATGTTAAATTCTTTTTACACGTGGTCTTGGGACGTGTAACCGTCTACATACACGGACGAACACGTCAGATACAGTACTGTACTTGTGCTGGGTTTGAACACGTCAGATACAGTATTGTACTTGTGTCGGGTTTGAACACGTCAGATACAGTACTGTACTTGTGCTGGGTTTGAACACGTCAGATACAGTACTGTTCTTGTGCTGGGTTTGAACACGTCAGATACAGTACTGTTCTTGTGCTGGGTTTGAACACTTCAGATATAGTACTGTACTTGTGTCGTGTTTGAACACGTCAGATACAGTATTGTACTTGTGTCGGGTTTGAACACGTCAGATACAGTATTGTACTTGTGTCAGGTTTGAACACGTCAGATACAGTATTGTACTTGTGCTGGGTTTGAACACGTCAGATACAGTATTGTACTTGTGTCGGGTTTGAACACGTCAGATACAGTATTGTACTTGTGCTGGGTTTGAACACGTCAGATACAGTACTGTACTTGTGCTGGGTTTGAACACGTCAGATACAGTATTGTACTTGTGCTGGGTTTGAACACGTCAGATACAGTACTGTACTTGTGTCAGGTTTGAACACGTCAGATACAGTATTGTACTTGTGCTGGGTTTGAACACGTCAGATACAGTATTGTACTTGTGCTGGGTTTGAACACGTCAGATACAGTACTGTACTTGTGTCAGGTTTGAACACGTCAGATACAGTATTGTACTTGTGCTGGGTTTGAACACGTCAGATACAGTACTGTACTTGTGTCAGGTTTGAACACGTCAGATACAGTATTGTACTTGTGCTGGGTTTGAACACGTCAGATACAGTACTGTACTTGTGTCAGGTTTGAACACGTCAGATACAGTATTGTACTTGTGCTGGGTTTGAACACGTCAGATACAGTACTGTACTTGTGTCAGGTTTGAACACGTCAGATACAGTATTGTACTTGTGCTGGGTTTGAACACGTCAGATACAGTACTGTACTTGTGTCAGGTTTGAACACGTCAGATACAGTATTGTACTTGTGCTGGGTTTGAACACGTCAGATACAGTACTGTACTTGTGCTGGGTTTGAACACGTCAGATACAGTATTGTACTTGTGCTGGGTTTGAACACGTCAGATACAGTACTGTACTTGTGTCAGGTTTGAACACGTCAGATACAGTATTGTACTTGTGCTGGGTTTGAACACGTCAGATACAGTACTGTACTTGTGTCAGGTTTGAACACGTCAGATACAGTATTGTACTTGTGCTGGGTTTGAACACGTCAGATACAGTACTGTACTTGTGTCAGGTTTGAACACGTCAGATACAGTATTGTACTTGTGCTGGGTTTGAACACGTCAGATACAGTACTGTACTTGTGTCAGGTTTGAACACGTCAGATACAGTATTGTACTTGTGCTGGGTTTGAACACGTCAGATACAGTACTGTACTTGTGTCAGGTTTGAACACGTCAGATACAGTATTGTACTTGTGCTGGGTTTGAACACGTCAGATACAGTATTGTACTTGTGCTGGGTTTGAACACGTCAGATACAGTACTGTACTTGTGTCAGGTTTGAACACGTCAGATACAGTATTGTACTTGTGCTGGGTTTGAACACGTCAGATACAGTACTGTACTTGTGTCAGGTTTGAACACGTCAGATACAGTATTGTACTTGTGCTGGGTTTGAACACGTCAGATACAGTACTGTACTTGTGTCAGGTTTGAACACGTCAGATACAGTATTGTACTTGTGCTGGGTTTGAACACGTCAGATACAGTACTGTACTTGTGTCAGGTTTGAACACGTCAGATACAGTATTGTACTTGTGCTGGGTTTGAACACGTCAGATACAGTACTGTACTTGTGTCAGGTTTGAACACGTCAGATACAGTATTGTACTTGTGCTGGGTTTGAACACGTCAGATACAGTACTGTACTTGTGCTGGGTTTGAACACGTCAGATACAGTATTGTACTTGTGCTGGGTTTGAACACGTCAGATACAGTACTGTACTTGTGCTGGGTTTGAACACGTCAGATACAGTATTGTACTTGTGCTGGGTTTGAACACGTCAGATACAGTACTGTACTTGTGCTGGGTTTGAACACGTCAGATACAGTATTGTACTTGTGCTGGGTTTGAACACGTCAGATACAGTACTGTACTTGTGCTGGGTTTGAACACGTCAGATACAGTATTGTACTTGTGCTGGGTTTGAACACGTCAGATACAGTACTGTACTTGTGCTGGGTTTGAACACGTCAGATACAGTATTGTACTTGTGCTGGGTTTGAACACGTCAGATACAGTACTGTACTTGTGCTGGGTTTGAACACGTCAGATACAGTATTGTACTTGTGCTGGGTTTGAACACGTCAGATACAGTACTGTACTTGTGCTGGGTTTGAACACGTCAGATACAGTATTGTACTTGTGCTGGGTTTGAACACGTCAGATACAGTACTGTACTTGTGCTGGGTTTGAACACGTCAGATACAGTATTGTACTTGTGCTGGGTTTGAACACGTCAGATACAGTACTGTACTTGTGCTGGGTTTGAACACGTCAGATACAGTATTGTACTTGTGCTGGGTTTGAACACGTCAGATACAGTACTGTACTTGTGCTGGGTTTGAACACGTCAGATACAGTATTGTACTTGTGCTGGGTTTGAACACGTCAGATACAGTACTGTACTTGTGCTGGGTTTGAACACGTCAGATACAGTATTGTACTTGTGCTGGGTTTGAACACGTCAGATACAGTACTGTACTTGTGTCAGGTTTGAACACGTCAGATACAGTATTGTACTTGTGCTGGGTTTGAACACGTCAGATACAGTACTGTTCTTGTGCTGGGTTTGAACACGTCAGATACAGTATTGTACTTGTGCTGGGTTTGAACACGTCAGATACAGTACTGTTCTTGTGCTGGGTTTGAACACGTCAGATACAGTATTGTACTTGTGCTGGGTTTGAACACGTCAGATATAGTACTGTACTTGTGTCAGGTTTGAACACGTCAGATACAGTATTGTACTTGTGCTGGGTTTGAACACGTCAGATACAATATTGTACTTATGTCGGGTTTGAACACGTCAGATACTGTATTGCGGTATAAAACCTTTTTTACGTGAAAAAAGGGCTACTTTTTCTTAATTTCAAATAATAAAAGTGGATGTAATAGAATGTTAATATAAGGTCTGAAATTTAACCTTCATGAGGGATTGCAACTCAGTTCCGTTCAAACATATTCTCAAAGACGCGCATCATGGAATATGTTTGAACGGAACTGTGTTGCATTACTTTAAACATATGTAATGCCCCAAAAAAATGAACAAGGGATTGGGCACAAGTTGTTACAGCCTTCTCCCGTCATACATTGACAATTACATGTTAACAATGTCAACAACTGTGTTGCATTCCCTCATAAATGTTAAAAAGATGCATTTAAAACCTTAAATGTATGCATACTTAATCTTTATAATGATAATCAATGTCTTTGATTTAACAGGGAAACCACAAGGAGCCAGAACCTTTACCAGAAAAGATGAGTATATTTTCGGACGAAGTACCTAATACAAATTCCGGAAATTATGGGTCACGGGTAAACTCAGATGTCGGCGCCACCATGCAACAGTTAGAATTCAAATTTTATAGTGGAAAACGAAGAAAGAAGATGGGCAACGATCTAGTATGCTATTAGCTAGGTACTAGACTAAGATCGTAATATATAGATCAATGTTGATGTTTCCACTAGTAAGGGCTTTCTACAAACCGACTACAATTGGCCTATAATATCATTGATTGTATAGATATTCAAAGGAAAGACAACTCCTCCAGTTTACTGAGGAGACATGCTGTAGATATCACACGCAGACCCTCAGATGTTATAGCTCTATAAAACATATTCCTTCTTCAAAAGTTCATCATCACTGCTGTTATAAATAAACCATGACTTCTGTTACTGTGTAAGTGTTAACCTGTCCAATATGAGTGTATTCCTAAGCAATAAACATGCTATTGTATTTTGAATATATTGTAGATTAGATGGAAGGCCTATTTGATAGTTGCAGGAAAGTTCTTTCCACACAATGGCCCACCATAAACATGCTGTAATTATTGTATTTGAATAAAAAAAACTCAACAACAAATATTGATATTATTTCCACTTTTAAAATGTACTGCTTTTATCGATATTTTAAACTATAAGAAATCTACTACGTTTTATGACGTACTGTTACTGAATGTTTATAAGAAATACCCAAGATAACTGTGTCAAATAGGCTTTATATGTTTCTGCGTTAAACTGTGTTACACTATGGCACACTGTATTACACTATGTTACACAATGTAACACTGTATTACACTATGTTACACTGTATTACACTATGTTACACTGTGTTACACTGTATTAAACTATGTTACACTGTATTACACTATGTTTCACTGTATTACACATGTTACACTGTATTACACTGTGTTACACTGTATTACACTATGTTACACGGTGCTACACTATGTTACACTGTGTTTCACTTATTACAGTGTTACACTGTGCTACACTATGTTACACTGTGTTTTACTTATTAAAGTGTTACACTATGTTACACGGTGCTACACTATGTTACACGGTGCTACACTATGTTACATGGTGCTACACTATGTTACACGGTGCTGCACTATGTTACACGGTGCTGCACTATGTTACACGGTGCTACACTATGTTACACTGTATTACACTATGTTACACGGTGCTACACTATGTTACACTGTGTTACACTGTATTAAACTATGTTACACTGTATTACACTGTATTACACTGTTTCATTGTATTACACATGTTACAATATGTTACACTGTATAACACTGTGTTACACTGTATTACACTGTGTTACACTGTATTTCAATATGTTACACTGTATTTCAATATGTTACATTGTATTACACTATGTTACACTGTATCACACTATGTTACACTGTGTTACACTGTATTACACTATGATAAACTGATAAATGCAGATCTGTGTACGTAGCTTTTATTTCTATTTTCTGTATACATGGACACACCTTTATATAAGCATTTTTTGTTGTTGTTTATTTTTTTTACAAAATGGTATTGTTCATTATGGTATACCATACTGTATATAATCAACCTGCCACTTCTGTAGATACAGAACTTGATTGCATTATTCTCCTTCTGAAGCACTCTATCGATTTGAACGATCCATCTGAGTATATTTTCTACATTCGAACCCGGAAATATGCTCCTTTCTTGAACAAAACTCAATCAAAAGAATTTTTCCTTCCTGTGGTAATAGTACGACTTTCAATAATTCTGTATTTTCAGCTTGACACAAATGTGATTTATATTAATGTGCTGATTTGATATATCTAACTGTTTTGTCAATAATTTATCCCAGATATATATATTTTTATAGATGTGTTGTGACATTATTATGTTATATAATTTATAATTGACTTTTAATGTATTTTCATTGTTTAATAATTGTGATATTTTTAACATGTTCCGTCCTATAGTATTAAGTTGTCATTAATTTATTAGCCAAGTTTTAAAAACTAGACAGCTTTTGTAAAATAGATGAGCTATGATCTGATATTATATGAACGATTTTATGGGTTTAACTGTTAAACGAGAAATCCAGTTTTATAAATTAAAAATACTTATTTCATTTGCCAATGGAAGATATAATGGACAGAATACAGTTTCATATGGAGCATTTTTCATCAGTGAAAAAAAGGTAATAAAAACTAAACAATCAAAAAACACATGATGTAATAGCAGGCTCTAGATGTCGTATAAAGGGAGATAATCCACGTGAACTCTCCATGCGATTATTCCGTCTTTGCGTATTGCAGAGTTATCTTCTCTTGTGAACAGGTATTGATTGTTACGTCATTGGTTTGTGTGAGAAAATTACGTCGTTTCTCAAAAATTGATGACGTTACTCTCATAAACAAATGACGTAACAATCAATACCTGCTCACAAGAGAAAATAACTCCGCAATACGAAAAGACGGAATATACATAATTTAATCACGGATCCTCATTAATTCCAAAAATTGCTTTCGAAGTTTTAACAACAATCAGTATTCTATAGATATTCACTAGTGTCCGAATAAGATTATTAAAATATCTATTGCTATACACCGTGTCTGTGGTTTGTGTGTTGAAAAAAATACGAAACTAACGTATCGTCTGGAAAATATTGTCATAGAGGTCCATGTATTCACAATCCAGTATTAATGAGCGAAAACCTAAAATATACACATCAAAAAATCTACTTTAATATTGGATTTTTGTTTTTCTTTTCGTCAAAGTCAAATTCAGCGAGAGTATAAAACAACGACATTAATATCTAAAGAATACACAAGATGGGCAAAATCATGTAGGGAGGGCTCTCTTTTCAGTGGACAACGAAGCAAGTGACAAAATAAAGTTAAAAAACTACCTTGCGAATAAGGCAATTAAAATTAAAGATCCGTCAACCCAAACAGAATAATGCCGAACCAAATGAGAAAAAAGAAACGAAACTTGCGAAAATTATCCTAAATAAGCTAACGAGAACCGGAAGATCACGGAACTGACAAACCCTGCTGTGACAAAGGGACACGTCATGTATAAAAGGGCGTCACAGGGATAACCATTGTGTGCGAATGACACCGGATATTGCTACTAAGCAGGCGGTGATCACACGAGGTGGACTGCAGTTAAGGTGATTTTTTTTCTATATTTTCGTAAATTGTGACCTCGTTGTAGAGTGTGACCCTCTCGTTATAGAGTGTGCCCTTCACATAAAGAATATATCTTTCGATCCATGTGCAACATGTGTGTGAAAGTGACGATTTGTTTCTAAAATATCTGTTTGAAGTGCGACTCGGCCGCGGGTCGCTTATTTCCCGCATATCATAGAGGGCCGGAGTTCTGACGTTAATCGACGACAGACCGATATAAAAAAAAAGTCGATAAAACGTCAGAATAATTAGGACTAATATAAGGCGTGAAGGGCACACTCTACAACGAGAGGGTCACACTCTACAACGAGAAGGTCACAATTTACGACGGAGGTATATTAAAGGTATGAAGGTCCCACTCTACAACGAGGTCACACTTTACAACGGGAGTTACATATAATGTGTGAAGGTCACACTCTACAATGAGAAGGTCACACTTTACAAATGGAGTTACATATAAAGTGTGGAGGTCACACTCTACAACGAGAAGGTCACACTTTACAAAGGGAGGTACATATAAAGAGTGAAGGTCACACTCTACAATGGGAAGGTCACACGCTACAAAGGGGGTTACATATAAAGTGTGAAGGTCACGCTCTACAATGAGAAGGTCACACGCTACAAAGGGAGGTACATAAAAGGTTTGAAGGTCACACTCTACAATGAGAAGGTTACACGCTACAAAGGGAGGTACATATAAAGTGTGAAGGTCACACTCTACAATGAGAAGGTCACACGCTACAAAGGCAGGTACATATAAAGTGTGGAGGTCACAATCTACAACGAGAAGGCCACACTTTACAAAGGGAGTTACATATAAAGTGTGAAGGTCACACTCTACAATGAGAAGGTCACACGCTACAAAGGGAGTTACATATAAAGTGTGAAGGTTACACTCTACAACGAGAAGGTCACACTTTACAAAGGGAGGTACATATAAAGTGTGAAGGTCACACTCTACAATGAGAAGGTCACACTTTACAACGGGAGTTACATATAAAGTGTGGAGGTCACAATCTACCACGAGAAGGCCACACTTTACAAAGGGAGATACATATAAAGTGTGAAGGTTACACTCTACAATGAGAAGGTCACACTTTACAACGGGAGTTACATATAAAGTGTGAAGGTCACACTCTACAATAAGAAGGTCACACGCTACAAAGGGAGGTACATATAAAGTGTGAAGGTTACACTCTACAATGAGAAGGTCACACGCTGCAAAGGGAGGTACATAAAAGGTTTGAAGGTCGCACTCTACAACGAGAAGGTCACACTTTACAACGGGAGTTACATATAAAGTGTGGAGGTCACACTCTACAATGAGAAGGTCACACGCTGCAAAGGGAGGTACATAAAAGGTTTGAAGGTCACACTCTACAATGAGAAGGTCACACTTTACAAAGGGAGTTACATATAAAGTGTTTGTATGTCTTATCCCTGCCCAATCATCCATCTTCGCGGATTTATGCAAAGTGCACAATTTCTTTTCGGTATATACCGTATATACCAAACAAAATTCTTGGTCATTCCTTATATATATAAATATATTTATACATATAAATACAGCAAGTGTTAACAATTGAATATTTCAAAAAACAAATTAAACAAAAGACAATTGCATAAAAAAAACGAAAACAAATGTAGAATTGTTTTCAATATATATAAATGTATCACATGTAGAAAACATAAATGCAACATTGTCAATTAACGGAAACACATACCCATTAAGGGTTGTTCTTTCTATGTTCCTTTGAACTGATCATTCACACGGTGAAAACTATAAATAGGAGATATACAGTGTCAGCAAGGTTCTAAGATAGTAGATATACAGTACCAGCAAGGTTCTTAGATAGGAGATATACAGTACCAACAAGGTTCTTAGATAGGAGATATACAGTACCAACAAGGTTCTTAGATAGGAGATATACAGTGTCAGCAAGGTTCTTAGATAGGAGATATACAGTACCAGCACGGTTCTTAAACAGGAGATATACAGTACCAACAAGGTTCTTAGATAGGAGATATACAGTACCAGCAAGGTTCTTAGATAGGAGATATACAGTACCGACAACGTTCTTAGATAGGAGATATACAGTACCAACAAGGTTTTTAGATAGGAGATATACAGTACCAGCAAGGTTTTTAGATAGGAGATATACAGTACTAACAAGGTTTTTAGATAGGAGATATACAGTACTAACAAGGTTTTTAGATAGGAGATATACAGTACCGACGAGGTTCGTAGATAGGAGATATACAGTACCGACGAGGTTCGTAGATAGGAGATATACAGTACCGACAACGTTCTTAGATAGGAGATATACAGTAACGACAAGGTTCGTAGATAGGAGATATACAGTTCCAACAAGGTTTTTAGATAGGAGATATACAGTAC